ACATGATACTGTCACTATGTCACTATTGTCCTCATCCATGATACTGTCACTATGTCACTATTGTCCTCATACATGATACTGTCACTATTGTCCTCACGCATGACACTGTCACTATGTCACTATTGTCCTCATCCATGATACTGTCACTATGTCACTATTGTCCTCATACATGATACTGTCACTATGTCACTATTGTCCTCACCCATGACACTGTCACTATGTCACTATTGTCCTCATTCATGACACTGGCACTATGTCACTATTGTCCTCATTCATGACACTGTCACTGTGTCACTATTGTCCTCATCCATGACACTGTCACTATGTCACTGTGTCACTATTGTCCTCACCCATGATACTGTCACTATGTCATTGTGTCACTATTGTCCTCATCCATGACACTGTCACTATGTCACTATTGTCCTCACCCATGACACTGTCACTATGTCACTATTGTCCTCATTCATGACACTGTCACTATGTCACTATTGTCCTCATACATGATACTGTCACTATGTCACTATTGTCCTCACGCATGACACTGTCACTATGTCACTATTGTCCTCATTCATGACACTGTCACTATGTCACTATTGTCCTCATCCATGATACTGTCACTATGTCACTATTGTCCTCATACATGATACTGTCACTATGTCACTATTGTCCTCACCCATGACACTGTCACTATGTCACTATTGTCCTCATCCATGATACTGTCACTATTGTCCTCATACATGATACTGTCACTATGTCACTATTGTCCTCACCCATGACACTGTCACTATGTCACTATTGTCCTCATTCATGACACTGTCACTATGTCACTATTGTCCTCACCCATGATACTGTCACTGTTTCACTATTGTTATCATTCATGATACTGTCACTATTGTCCTCATTGTCCTCACCCATGACACTGTTACTATGTCACTATTGTCCTCATCCATGATACTGTCACTATTGTCCTCATACATGATACTGTCACTATGTCACTATTGTCCTCACGCATGACACTGTCACTATGTCACTATTGTCCTCATTCATGACACTGTCACTATGTCACTATTGTCCTCATACATGATACTGTCACTATGTCACTATTGTCCTCACGCATGACACTGTCACTATGTCACTATTGTCCTCATTCATGACACTGTCACTATGTCACTATTGTCCTCACCCATGATACTGTCACTGTTTCACTATTGTTATCATTCATGATACTGTCACTATTGTCCTCATTGTCCTCACCCATGACACTGTTACTATGTCACTATTGTCCTCATCCATGATACTGTCACTATTGTCCTCACCCATGATACTGTCACTATGTCACTATTGTCCTCACCCATGATACTGTCACTATGTCACTATTGTCCTCATCCATGATACTGTCACTATGTCACTATTGTCCTCATCCATGATACTGTCACTATGTCACTATTGTCCTCACCCATGATACTATCACTATGTCACTATTGTCCTCATTCATGACACTGTCACTATGTCACTATTGTCCTCATACATGATACTGTCACTATGTCACTATTGTCCTCACGCATGACACTGTCACTATGTCACTATTGTCCTCATTCATGACACTGTCACTATGTCACTATTGTCCTCACCCATGATACTGTCACTGTTTCACTATTGTTATCATTCATGATACTGTCACTATTGTCCTCATTGTCCTCACCCATGACACTGTTACTATGTCACTATTGTCCTCATCCATGATACTGTCACTATTGTCCTCACCCATGATACTGTCACTATGTCACTATTGTCCCCACCCATGATACTGGGGTAATGTATATGTAGGTTTTGTAAGGGTGTATGTGAGGAGACATTGGGGTAATGTATATGTAGGTTTTGTGAGGGTGTGTGTGGGGAGAAAGGAATGGAGGACCATGAGTGCTGATGTGTGGTTCCGATCCGGTACTTTGTATTGGTGACAATGGTGGTGACAGTGGTGGTGACAGTGGTGGTGATAATGGTGATGACAGTGGTGGTGATAATGATTTTGTCCAGGAAATTGCCACTTACTCATATCAGCCTTTTGATCTATCCAGCCAGACAACATATTGCTGACCAGAGCAGAACACAAGAAGTACCATGTCAAGATCGGTGACTTTGGCGCCGCCAAACTGACGGAGATGTGTGACTCCACACTCCGCCCAGGTGAGCACCGCGGTTTGCTCTACATTCACGTCCAGGTAGTCACAGGTGAGCACCGCGGTTTGCTCTACATTCACGTCCAGGTAGTCACAGGTGAGCACCGTGGTTTGCTCTACATTCACGTCCAGGTAGTCACAGGTGAGCACCGTGGTTTGCTCTACATTCACGTCCAGGTAGTCACAGG